TATAGCGCGGGCACTTTTTCACAAATTTCCTCTGACTTGCATGACATATTGATACATACGTACACACATACTACAAATTAACGTCTTTCCTAGCCAACAGAGCAGACACCGAAGCTAGTCTAAAGAATCCACTCGAGGTGTTCAAAACATCACCTTTCGCAATAAACGCCGCTTCTATAATTCTCCGTTGGGTTTTAGAAAAGTTTTGATCCACATGTGTAGCCCGCGTCCAATCAGGTAAATGCCCTTCTTTCTCAGCGTGAATAACAAATGCATTAGAAAGTCTGTGATTGCGTAAATCCCCCCTGTGTTCACGGACCCGTGTTTTGAGACCCCTACCCAAGTCACCCAACCCAAGTCAGAGGAAATTTGTGAAAAAGTGCCCGCGCTATATTCGAACGAAACCGAAAAAACGTACTTGACTCTGTAGGTAAAATGTGTCATATCACCCTTGAAAAAGTGAATAACACGAAACGTTGGGTGGTTTTGGTGTTTTTATCTTACATTATATACGAATTAAATGTACTTGTTGAAGCACTTGCTGTATGTAAGGCATAGGTATAAGTTCTATGAGAAAAAACACTTTTAAATGGCCTCCTTACAATGAAATACCGAAAGATGAAATAATGAAATAATTATTGATGATTTCGACCACAGGTCATTATCAAAATAAGCCAGACAGAACTTTGTCAGACACAATGGGAAGCTCACAATATCGGCAGAAAAATTCACATTTTCAAACATTTCACGTGAACACATTGCATATAGAGCTCACCTAAAATGCTGCTACAACTAACGAATGAAGTATATGTTATAAGGTTAAGTCCTATAGCCAAGACAAAGTTTAAGAATGTTCCCTATAATATCCCCCCCCCCCCACACACACACACACACCAGAATAAATGACAACAGTGATTTAACAATCCCACAATCATTTCTAGATACGTTTACAACAAGTATCAGTAGGTAGATGTGCCACATACTCGATATGCACGTCTAAGAATAGGCACCTAAGCGATGACATGTAGGTACTTGACACAGTCTAAAATATGAACCAGGAAGAGACATTTCTATTTAGGATTGGTTTTCGCTCGCGAATGTACAGGGATTCCATTATCTTTCGATTCGGGTGATCTTTGGCTTTGTGTAAAATTTCCACTGACAAAGGGTGGTCAGGTAAGGTCTCACCAGCATGACATGCTCTAAAATGTTCACCCAAGGGGGTGTCCCTAGTCGCGTTCTTTGCATTGAGCACATGCTCATTGAAACGTAATCTTACTGGACGCTTACACTCCCCTATGTACTGTACACGCTCATCAGTTGAAGTTGAAGTGCATAGGTTAGAAGGGAAGTGTCAAGACAACGGACTAAAATAATGCGACAACAGCGCAATTCTGGACGCGCTCGGCCCCAACAGGATCAGCGGCGACCACAGGAGCAGCAGCAGCCACGGCAGCAGCAGCAGTCACCGGCGCAGCCAGGTCCTCGGCTACAGCAGCAGGCACAGGAGCCGTCTCCACCGCTTCCGCCGCCACCACCGCCTGAGCAGCAGCAGCAACAGCAACAGCAGCAGCAGCACCACCACCACCAGCAGCAGCAGCAGCAGCAGGGGCAGCGACAAACTCGAAGTGACGTTGATGGTTACCTTTCCTTACCTTATGTCGACGAGACCCTCTGTGCAAAGATAAATAACATAGCCAGACAATCGAAACTCAACGTAAAAGTGGCATGGACTAGTAAAAACACCCTAAGACATACTCTGATCAAATCTGACCTGACGCGTCCTGAGTGCCCGTCTGGCAGGCGTAGATGCAATGCATGCAGTTCAGGAATCGAGGGCAAGTGTACCACACCAGGGGTGGTTTACTGCGTCACTTGCAACCTATGCACTTCAACTTCAACTGATGAGCGTGTACAGTACATAGGGGAGTGTAAGCGTCCAGTAAGATTACGTTTCAATGAGCATGTGCTCAATGCAAAGAACGCGACTAGGGACACCCCCTTGGGTGAACATTTTAGAGCATGTCATGCTGGTGAGACCTTACCTGACCACCCTTTGTCAGTGGAAATTTTACACAAAGCCAAAGATCACCCGAATCGAAAGATAATGGAATCCCTGTACATTCGCGAGCGAAAACCAATCCTAAATAGAAATGTCTCTTCCTGGTTCATATTTTAGACTGTGTCAAGTACCTACATGTCATCGCTTAGGTGCCTATTCTTAGACGTGCATATCGAGTATGTGGCACATCTACCTACTGATACTTGTTGTAAACGTATCTAGAAATGATTGTGGGATTGTTAAATCACTGTTGTCATTTATTCTGGGGTGTGTGTGTGGGGGGGGGGGATATTATAGGGAACATTCTTAAACTTTGTCTTGGCTATAGGACTTAACCTTATAACATATACTTCATTCGTTAGTTGTAGCAGCATTTTAGGTGAGCTCTATATGCAATGTGTTCACGTGAAATGTTTGAAAATGTGAATTTTTCTGCCGATATTGTGAGCTTCCCATTGTGTCTGACAAAGTTCTGTCTGGCTTATTTTGATAATGACCTGTGGTCGAAATCATCAATAATTATTTCATTATTTCATCTTTCGGTATTTCATTGTAAGGAGGCCATTTAAAAGTGTTTTTTCTCATAGAACGAATTAAATGTATTCTTATTCTGTCTTTGGTTAGCAATTCCGACGAAGATCTGTGATCGAAATATCAATATCAATATATCCTTTTTGCTAAATTATATTTTACGAGGAAATGTTATGTGATACTAAAACTGCTTTTATGATTATGTTCCTCGTATGTAGGTAGTATTATGTTCCTCGCACAAGCGCTCAACAACATAAAACAGCTATCTTTTAGTTGTTGGCCCTCTGGAGGCCAAAAACAATTCTCCGAAAGACCTCAGAAAGAGCTTTCAAATGCGCTTTTCCAAGGCGCTGTAGCTCTATTGGTTCCCGAGTTTTGCGTTGTGTGTTACAAAAATTGTTGAAATTGACAAAATTTGACCTTTAACCCGCGCCCCACTGGGGTCTGCGTATAACACGCCCTACTGGGGGGGGGGCCTCCATAGCCCCCATCGTAACTCCGAAACTACTGGGCCGATCGTCAAAATTCAAACGGCGTCTGATAGCCCCGGAAAAATTGTCTAGCGAAACCTAATTTCATTGACCTCGAGGTCACCGATGACGTCACAGGTCAGGTCAAAGAAAAAATTATTAGCATTTTGGCTTGTTCACATTTTGGGCTCTGGCCGCCGTCTTACAAGTCAGATCAGGCTAATTTTTGGTTTACACACTCGTGAATAGATGCTCTAGATACTCTGAGGGTACCAAACTTGTACTTTGATTTTCAGGTCAAGGTCAGGTCATCACAGGTCACGGAAATATTATATCATGCGTCGGTCACGTGACACATGCTTTGTGGTCCATTTAGGCCATAGATTTCGAATTTGATGTCGTCTGTGTCATTCGAGGTCATTTTGAGTCGAATTTAGCTTAGGTCAGGTCACTTTCAGGTCAAAAAAGGTCAAATTTTGAAGTTAAAATGTTTCAACAAAAAAGATGTCTATTGGATGCAGTTTGAGCTCAGGAACACGATGGTGCTATTTATATTGGTGTACGATGTCAAATACGTACTGAAAAAAAAATTGATTTGAAAAATTTATAATTGTGAATTTTTTGCAATAATGCGTATAACTTGGCCATTTTTGAAGATATTAAGCTAAAACTTGCTGGAGTTAGTCATGGGCATGTGTTCTATCACAGATGTTCCGGTTTTTCGAAGTCAAAATTTTTTGAAAAAAAATATAAAATTTGAATTTTATGATATCAATTTTTTTCAAGTGACCATCCCACCTTAACATTAATTTTGAGTTGAAATAGTCAAATTGGTGGCCATGGCCTGCAAATAACGGTTTGGGCACTCACAACATCGAGAAATGCTTTAATTCGGAGATATGGAATTTCAAACTTGCAGTTTTCGGATTCTAAGGGGCTAATGCATTGAGATGCCCCCTTAGAATTTGTGACGTCAGCGGTGATCTAACGATTTTAAAACCTTATACTAACATCTTTGTGAAGCAGTGGTGGTATATGCTATTTGCGCGCAACATCTGCCGCGAACGCCGCACTTCCAAAATGAAGTCGCTAGGAACAGCTGAGGTCCCCAAAAAGTAAACAAAAGTAAATGTCTAATATCTTGAAAACCGGTGAATATTTTTCGGTGAAATTTGGTAGATATTCGTTTTTGCTCTTTCTGAACCGAGCGACATCACTTTCAGGCCAATTCATTGACTTTTTTGAAGGTGGGAGGGTCCCTTTAAATTTTCGAAATTTTGAAAATCCGAGATAGCAGTTTGATAGCGCGGTCTGTTCTGAGTCCTATCATGCAAAGAAATTAGATCTAGGTTAAAAACTGAGCTCTTGGGAGCGATTGCCGTGGTTCAATGTTTTGCGTCGAAATCGGCCGAACATGACGTAACTCTGACGTCATTTCCGGCCGACCTATGGTAGCTACGAAGTTCATATTTTGACACAATGTGTCAAATTGATGCAGCCGAAGGTACTGAAAGTTTCGCGTCGATACGTCCAGCGGTTTGGAAGTTATTGCAGAAAAACGGGAGGGGGCCCCCCAGTGGGGCGCGGGTTAATGGCCTCTGGTGACCTGCCTTTGAACTGACCTAAGACCTAAAAAGCATGACCAAAGTATTTCTGCCATTATATTTGACGTTCGTTCGAATGCCGCTTACCGCGTGTCGCTACATGACCAAGGAGCCGAGTTAGTCGGGGGTGTTGAGACCCCCCCCCCTCCCCGGCCCTGCACGGTTGGCACCGAGCACCGGCCCGGCGCGGGTTAATTGGGTTAAATCAAGCATACCCGCTCGTGTCGTGCCTCACGCTGTGTTCAGATTCATGAAGAATATATTGACCGCTAAAACAAATTTGTTCCATTATTTTTATGGCAGGGAAGAAGGAATTGGTAAGGTACCACCTACCTCGCCGGCCGGCTGTGCTGACTTGAAGATATCATAAGGCTGAAGGATCTTCTCGTAGTGGTGTTTTAACGTAAAACTGAGGTGGTGTTTGGCCGTGGGAAAGCCCATTCGGTGTGCGATCTGGTTCCAGCGGCGGCTTTGGGAGACGGCGTCCGGTCCACCTGGCAACACAAGGCACCGCGTCCAACGGGTCAGTACTCGCCCACCTGGCAACACCAGGCACCGCGTCCAACGGCACCTTGCCCGCCTGGCAACACCAGGCACCGCGTCCAACGGCACCTTGCCCGCCTGGCAACACCAGGTACCGCGTCCAACGGCACCTTGCCCGCCTGGCAACACCAGGTACCGCGTCCAACAGCACCTTGCCCGCCTGGCAACACCAGGCACCGCGTCCAACGGGTCAGCGCTCCCCCCCCCCCCTGTGCTCCCCGTCCCCGTCAGCGCTCCCCTGTTCCAACTGTGCCTACAACCCAATCGGGGATCGCTCCAGTGTCAAGACAGTGGCTCCGCTAGGAGAATACGAAAAGTTTACTATAATAGACATTTTTCAGCTACCACCTTAACTCGCGTCCCGTCGAGGTCTGGCAGGTTTCAGTCCCTGTGGGGAAGGTCAAAGCCCCCCCCCCCCCCGTCGTATCTCAGGAACCAACAGTCGGATCAGAAAAAATAAAACAGTGTTCGAAAGATGTCATCGAGATGCACCGGAGCCTGTTGGTACAGCATTGGACTCCCGGTGGTGAGAGCCCGGGTTCGAATCGCTCCGGCGCAAGATATTTGAGACTCCTGACGGGCATGGTCTGCGGTTGGTGGGAGCAGTCGCAACTAGTCGGAGTCAGTTGAGTCGGACAGGACGTGTCCGGCTTTGAAGGGCACGTTAAACTTTGGCATTTAAATTCTCCCGTTACCAGGAATTGCGCGATCGGACGATAGGGGTCGGGTCTACGCAACAAGCTCTGCTTAGCGTGGGCTCCGCCTCTGACAAGCCGTCCATTCAAACATTCGAGCTAAATTCTTTCTTTAATGCACAATAAACAGCATCAATGACTCAATTTTTAACCCATGACGTCACAGAAAGGTCAAACGAGGTCAAATCTGTCCAATTTACGACTAGCAGTCGGTCATAAAAAATAATGTAGATTTCTCAAATCAGTCTGGAAAGGATAAAATTCATGGATTTGACCCGTGATAGTCATCTGAATGGATGATGACAAGTGACGTCACGAGAGGGGTCGGCCTCCACCTACGACTAGGCACAAACGTGACGCGTGGTATGGAACGGCATGCCGAACTTTGATATTTGAATAGCTATGAAGGCAACTCGTACATCTGTACGTCACAGCAACCTGGTTGGCCTTTTTCCTTTGAGCTATGACGTCACGGGAAGGTTAAAAAGGTCAAATTGTATCGGTTTGCAATCACAAACATTCTATTACGTAAAAGGGACTTATCACGTAAAAAAAGAGACGGGACTTTTCATACTTACTGTAGAAGAAATGGATATGCATCATAAATCTTACCCTAGACTAGTTTCAAGTACCTACACATGTTGGTAATAATGTTACGTCATAAGAAGAGTCACTATATTTAATCCTTCAAATGGCTATAATCATAGCAGTTTTAGACATTTTGTTTTTTTTCGGCATGTATGAATAATAAGAATAAGAGAAACCATATGTACAGGGTGTCTCAAAAATTCGTTGACACATTTTCCATGCCAGAAAAGCATATAAGAACCAGTCAAAATATACCGCATTGATGCCTATGTGTACAGGGTGTCCCAGAATTACCCGGCCATTTATTTTCTGGCTAAAAGTACGACTGCGCTCGCTTCTAATGATATACAAGCATCATACTTTTATCAGATATCCCTTAGCTATCGAGATTGGGGACTGTGTGCTTTTGGTGGCCGGTAACGACTCGAATCAATTATTATCCAGAGTCAAGTAAGAGTAGTCCTTTTCCGTTTTCAGCTTAAGCCACTAATAGGCAAACATGGTGAATCAACTCCCGTTCTCAACTTTGTAAACGGACTTTCGGCATGGTTTTTGCTGGAGAGCTTCAGCAGCTCATCTGCAAGCAGTTAGGATTGAGCAAAGCGCAATTATATCAGCTAACGAAGCCAGAGAGAGCAAGAGATAAACCTGATTGACAAGCTTGGGCTCGGCCAAAAAGGGCCATGCACCAGTTGTCAAACAACTGGTTGTTTGTCATAGACAACAAACGTCACCGATATAGCTAAAAACTAGCTAAACAATAGATCAGGATTATTTACAAAACATCAGTCTACTTTGCACCACTATCTTCGACAAAATTTTGGAATTTGGGGTCCTTCGCCTGAAAAATATGCGAAAACTACGGGAAAAGCAGCGAAAATCTCTACAATACATCCCAAAAACATAACATATACAACACAAAAGTATATTAAAGCATACTTTGTGGTCTAACGAAGGTATTCTGTCATTTGAACCGCCCGAAAAAGGCGTGTGTGAAGGTCAGATGGCTACAACGCCCCAACAGCAGAGACGGCCAGGCACCCGTCGAAAATCAAATTGTGAGACATTTTGAGCCACCGTGCACTCATTGGGCTTGATATGATGGCCCAAAGACAACCGTTAGCACAGGGTACTACTGCAGTAATATTCTACCAGTGCGAAAACTGGATGCCGTGAACCAAATGGCCATGAACGGGTTTGTTTTGGAAACCAAATCTGTTGGAAGCCAAAGGTTGCGCATTGTTCAGACATGGAGCTTCTCCACTCCAGATGTAAAAAACGCAGCAAAAGTGGCGTAGGCAGAAATTTTTGTTTTGGGGGATAATAACTTATGGCCTGGGAACACTTTGATGTCAAGTTTATCTTATATGATCGTATTATCCTCCGGCAAGAGGTCAAAGAAAACAGGCCTACACCCAGTTTCGGGAGACCCGTAAAACAACTGAGACCAGCAATGGCTGGCATTTTCCATCATTGTCGGCTGATCTTGTAACAAGCGTATCTGTTGCATGTGCTATTTCACAGCCACCCTAGTTGACTATATAGGACGGTAAAAAGAAAAAAGCGCAATCATGTTTGCCTTGTTTTATACGCTAATTAACAATGTCTGGGTAATTATGGGACACCCTGTACAGTCGTAATAGTACCGCACAAAGTAACGGTGGATCCATCAAGCCTGACCGAGGAAGGGCCTGCTAAATTTGAGTCATCGAATCCATTGACATCCTCGTCCATTCCCCCAGGTCAATTGGTTCGGTAACTTTCAGATTATAGACGGCCCTTCCTCGGTCAGGCTTGATGGATCCACCGTTACTTTGAGCGGTACTTTTAAAACAGACTAGTGTACACTAGACAAATAACCGAAGGTTTGTTGTCAATAGTTAAAACACTATTCTTTAGAATTGTGTTTTTCTATTGAAAAACAAATCTGAGTTCCCTGACAAATTGGCAAAAGTATACGTGCTTTGACAACGAATTCGGAATGTTAGAAACCAAGTCCTTTGCTGTAGTTCCAAAAATATTTGCCCATACCGATTTTTGTCGCTCCGTCAGCTGCCGGAGGCTGATAAAAGGTGGCCTGCTTTCAAGTCTTTGCAGGGAATTCTCCCGTAGTTTCTGCCTCGGATTTAGGTTTGACGAGCCTTCACGGCCACATTTGCTTCTCCCTGAGAGCCGACAGCTTGCATCGACACCATTCATGAGTATTTTCTAGGTATTATCTGGCAGCAACTCCTTCACGAAAATTGGCGCCGACATCCAAAGCATAATTTTCCTTTTGAAAGCGACCCCATTCCTGAACAAACGGGAAGTGCCAGGGGTAAATTTTTCGCATCATATCGTAGCAGAATGTGTCGGCCGTCTGTTTCTGAAGCACATTGTGCAAATTTTGCAAATCCCAAACGCTCACCATGCTCCGTGCCAAAACATTCGCTGGGTAGCGGAGTGTTTTCCTCAAGAGAGCTTCTGCCTTGTAAACGGCCTAAGCAGCCAGTCTATTATGTGGTGTTGGGATTTTGTGTCCGAGGGAAAGCTATTCGCTCCAGATTTGCCTCTTAACCCTCGCCCTGGCAAGGCATTTTTCATAACACGGCCTGGCAGGGGGGTGAGGGTCGATGCGACCCCCCCCCCCCCTCGCGATTGGCTCCTATGGCACCTAGAAACACCAAATTTGGTAGGTAGGTGGGCCCCCTGGAGTTCTCGCCCCTGTGCAAATTTAGTTGCTCTAGGTCAATATTTAGGGGGGTTTTGGGGGGTATAAATGTAAAAATTTCGCTAAAAACAGATCAAAAGTTTTTCGCTTATAACTTTTGATCTAATTCAGATAGAGCAAAAAGAAAAGCACCAGTGAACTCAGCACGTCAAGGCGCGTCGAATGATATACTTTTTAGCTTGCTTAACCCATTAGAGCCGAAAACTTTTTTTGTCGACTTTCACTGCGATTTTAACATATGTTTGTCAGGCACCCTTTAGTGGAATACATGTGCATTTTTAGCCAGATCACGAAACCGGAAGTGTACGTTTCCGGTCTGGCAGCTTTTGCTGCCAAGCGTATCTTACATAGTCAAAAATGGAGTGGTTTGTCATATTTCAAAGCACAAACATATCAAAACCGCGAGGAAATGATCTTTCGATACCAACAACCTTTGCCACAGAGTGTCTCCTGTTGGTGCATGTACAGTTTTCACGAACTATTTTATTTACGTACCAGATATGATCTTGAATATGTGCAATTGTTCGGATTTCCATTCGACCGTAGCCTGCAAATAACGACCGTAGCCAATAATTATCAAGAATAATGAACTCAAAATCCAGACCTCAGCTAACAGTTCAGCTCGTTCTGAGAGATCATGTTCTTTCTCTCATTATTTCAGCTCACACGCGCTTCCCCTCCCCACAAAATCTTATATAGGATGCGACGAAGGTTTTGATGACTTCCGTCGACCGTTTATTTAAAGCAACTTGGCGTGTTTCCAATGTGCTCCTAAATATCGCGTTCCTTTCAACGAATTGTGTCCCTGAGTCTTTCTCTGAAGCGGAGATTATCTGAAAAGCTGACCTTTACCAATGGGGTTCACTGGCATGGGTAATTGTTTAACCATTGAACGGCGCATTTACTGAACGCCTAAGCATGAAGGTTTAGCTTTACAGTTGAGAGGTTCGTAGTTGCGCTGTTGGCATGCTCCAAGCTGGCAAGTGGCAACACATGGAAGGACGCTGCCTCACACTTCTAAGCCCCCGTTTTCACCAACAAGCGCTGGTGGAAGAAGTTTAGGGACAAGTAGCGTCACGCATAAGCCCCAATCAGCATGGTCCTCCTGCGTCTCAACCGTCGCCAAGATCGTCATGAAGAAAGCACCTGGGAAGTCTGACCATTCTGCGGAGAATCTGAAGTCTTATTCATAATGATCACTCGGATAATGTTGTCCATTGATAAGGGAGGAACGCCCTTTGACTGAAGGCGCTTGACTATTGGTGCGGCCAAAATAACGAAAATCAGCAAGCCCAGAGCCCTCAGATTTGCACGAAACGGAGAATCTGGCCGGTAGAAGAGTGGAAACGGAGTAGGTATGTAGAAGCGGGTCTAGTTCGGCGACGAGTCTCCGTTTCAATGGTTTCACCACACGGACCCCCAAAACGAGCATGGGCTGAAAACGCGGCCCAAGTTCCGACAGACTTCTGCGAAAAATTCTCGCCGCAATGGTATGTCGAACGATCACGATGTCCTAGCAGGGCCTGAGCTGAACCAGCTGGACGTGATCTAGCAAAAGACGAAGTCGATCCCGACTACTACCTAGAAAACATACTGAAAAAGCGTGCATTTGGCATTAAAAGACCACTACCCCGTGCTCCAACGGCGCCTGGTGTCCCGCAGGTCGGACAGCATTTTCATGCTGGACGGTACTCCATCTCATCGATCTTCCGGAACTAGGCGGTGTCAGGACCATCTGTCCGATATCTGGGGGAAGGACACTTGGCTAGGGAACAGTCCTGGCCTAAATCCAATCGAATTATTTTGGAGGATAGTGCAGCAGGAGCTGGACATATACGAACTTTCCGGCGACCTCGGACAGCTCGGAAGGGCGCTCAAGTCCCAGGCGCCCCTTTTTCACATGGAGGACGTCCCTTTAAGCTTTATAGGCACCCCTCTTTCCCGTGTAAGCGCGTATTTGGTCATTAAAGGCGCCCCTATAGGTCTCAGAGGCGCCCCTCTTTCTTGTGCAATGCGCCTCTTTTTCATATGCAATGCGCCCCTTTTTCGCATAAAGGTGCCCTAGGGACATTACATGCACCCCTATAGACCTTACAGGTGTCCCTCTTTCTCGTAGAGGCGCCCCATTGGGCTTCATAGGCGCCCCTCTTCGGCATGCAGGCGCCCCTCTTCGGCATGCAGGCGCCCCTCTTTCGTGCAAATGCGCCATTATGGCCAGGACCTTCGTAGGCGCCCCTCTTTTGCATGGGGGGCGGGAGCGGGGCGGGGGGCGGGGGCGACCCCATAGTTAGGCCTCAAAGGCGCCCCAACAGGCCTAGGAGGCGCCCCTCTTCCCGTTCATC